CAAGTTCACCAAGAATTTTCAAAAACGTTCACATGTACTCGTTTTTAGAGTAGTTGAGTATAATCCAAAGTTTAACTTGCCGGACTGTGGATTCCAGGATCCATGACTTGTGCCCCGTTACCGCAAGAAGAAAAAAAAGCGCTCTGTATTTTGGGGCCGTGGCCATGTTATAAAAGTGATGGTCAAATCCTACTATTAGATTATAGTAGACAACGAGTTGGCTGTTGGGCAGTGTTGACTAGTTGCCTCCTCTCTTGTCTATCACTCAAAATTAGGTACGACTAGTCCAGTTAGCCCATGAAAAGCTTTGTACAAAATTCAACAAACAGCAATCGTTTCTAGCCGTGTTTACAGTTTTAACAATAGAACTTTGGTCAAGGGATATGTTCTTTTCCCTCTAGTTACCTATTGTTCTGGGCCATTCTTCTTCGAAAGATTCCCGAAGTAAAAATACATTACTGTGAAGGTGAACAGTGATCTTTTTCTCTAGTGGGCCAGGTGATATCTTCCTTTATTTTTCTTTTGGAATGATGGTGTGGGAAGGCCAATTAGAATCTTGTAAATAATGCATCATATTCTCTTGGTCTGGAACAAGTTCAAGTTTTAATTATAAAAAAGTCAAATTAAGAGATATATTAAGACATAATAGTGAAGGCTCTGTATTCCATCCAGTACACTCGTTACTTTGCTTGCTTTTAATAAGTAAATATTAGTTTTAACTTTACATTTGAATTGTGTTTGGTCTTTTTCTTCAAATTCAGTCAAAGTCTGCACAACTCTGACTTACTCTATAATACATTTCCTGATCGAATACCTTGTTCTCCACTGATACTTCCTGAAAGGTAAATATTTTTAGTTTTTTGTTATTTTAATCATATACTAGAAGAATTTAGCACCAGCCTAAGTAACATACTTTTCAACTGCGAGTAGCGTGGTATTCCGTTTGTCAAGGCGCCATTCAAGTATCGTGATGCCATCCTTGACCTAAATCCCGAAGTACCGACTACAGGGAGACAAAGGACGGCAGCAAACACTTTTACTTTATTATTATTATTATAACTAGCCGTCCTTACCTGGCGTTGCGCAGGTATTACCTGAACAGAGGGCCGATGTTTAGCTATTTTTAAACAGCAAGGATCAAAATTTCACTTTTCATGTTACAATATATGCCAGATGACCATATTTCTGTAAGTTCGTTTGTTTGAAGTTAAGCACAAAGCTACACAAAGGGCTATCTGTGCTCTGCCCACCACGGGTATCGAAACCCGGTTTCTAGCGTTGTAAGTCCACAGACATCCCGCTGTGCCCCTGGGAGGGGGGGGGGCATCTCTGTGAGATAAATGGCTTAAGAGCATAACGGTTAAAGAAAATAAACGAAATCATAGACTTATTATATAGCTCACCCCTCCCCCTTAAGAATCATTGCAATGCCTCTGGATAATCGACATTTTTGGTTTCTTGTGGTGACGAATCATAGATTTATTATATAGCTCACCCCCTCCCCCTTAAGAATCATTGCAATGCCTCTGGATAATCGACATTTTTCTTGTGTTTTCTTGTGGTGTCTTAGTGTTACTTTTGTTGCATACGTTTTGCTGCTTGTGATTGGCATCGGAATTGTTTTTTCTTTTTCTCGACATTTTACTTTTACATTTTACATAATCAGCGTCAAAAATGTTTATCATACCTAACTCCCCTCCCAAAATAAAGGGGATAAAACCAATTTATTTTTGTAGAACTTCGGGGGTTCAACTTGTTTGTTCTATAAAAAGAAAAAACGTTAGTCTTGTTTGTCCGAGACACGACAACGTTTGATGGATATTTTTATTCTGACACCACAACGGCTGTACACATCTCTATAAAATACACGTAATTTTCCTGGCGTTATTTCCACTTAAATTAGACCAAAAAATCCGATCCCTCTTCTGTGGGAAAAATAATAATAATTGGATTTCAAAGTTTTCGTTGACATTAAAAATTTGACATCACAGACATTAAACCTGAGTACAATGATTCCATATACTTACAGGTCTACTATTATAGAAGCTGAAAGATGCGAAGAAACAGACTCAAATTTAGCTTGAAGAAAGTTTTGCATCATTCGTATCTTCTTCAATTATGGCATGTCCAGGTGGTTAGGGCGCTCGACTCGCAATCTGAGGGTCACGAATTCGAATCCCCGTCCCACCAAACATGCTCGCCTTTTCAGCCGTGGAGACGTTATAATGTGACGGTCAATCCCATTATTCGTTGGTAAAAAGAGTAGCCTCGGAGTTGGCAGTGGGTAGGGATGATTAGCTGCCTTCCCTCTAGTCTTGCACTGCTAAATTAGGGACGGCTAGTGCAGATAGCCCTCTTGTGGCTTTGCGCGAAATTCTAAAAACCTAAAAAGAACATCTAACCTTCAATTATTTTTATTTTAATAAGGTTACATTTGGTTTTTCGCTGCACGGATAATAATGCCTTTTATTATAACGGGCCAGGCATGGCCAGGTGGTTAGGGATCTCGACTCGCAAATTGCGAGTCGCGGGTTCGAATCCCCGTCCCACCAAACATGCTCGCCCTTTCAGCCGTAGGGGACGTTATAATGTGACGGCCAATCCCACTATTCGTTGGTAAAAGAGTAGCCCAAGAGTTGGCGGTGGGTGGTGATGACTAGCTGCCTTCTCTCTAGTCTTACGCTGCTAAATTAGAGACGGCTAGCGCAGATAGCCCTCGTGTAGCTTTCGGCGGAAATGATTATATTTAAATGTTTGTTCGCTTGTATCTAAAAACTATTTTCAAAATATGTGTGAGGTCAAGGAATTTTGTTATAATGTTATTATTTTCAATTAAACCAATTATACCAATCAAAAAAGTTGTAGTAAAGATGATATTTTTATCATTTACGAGTTCTTTTAGTGATTGTGTGTTTCAACAAATAAAACTTCTGATTTTCAAATTGATAAAAAATCGTTAAAATAATTGTTTGTTTGTTTGTTTTTGAATTTCGTAATAATATGAATTCCAACACTTTTTACGCTTTGTTTGTTTGTTTGTTTTTAATTATGCACAAAGCTACACAAGGGCTATCTGTGCTCTGCCCACCACGGGTATCGAAACCCAGTTTCTAGCGTTGTAAGTCCGCAGACGTACCGCTGTGCCACTGGGGGGCAACTTTTACGCATGGTTTCTTACAGAACGATAACAGTTTTGTAACAACAGGTTTTGTTCTAAAAAAACGTTCTACAGAATAAAACCTAAACCCTTGTTGAGCCCTCTATTTAATTAGTATAATTGATAACTCTCTCAGCTAGCCAAACTACTCAACTTACTTTGTAATTTAAAATCAAAGATAATATTTAGAAACTTACACAAGCACAGTATCTATGTGGTTTTGGTGTAAAATTAAACATTTAATTTTACAATGTTTTATTTGAAGTATGAAATGTTATTTTTTTTCTCTCCATAATACCTATAATTGTATATTCCTTATGTTTATTATATCGAAGCAATTGCTTTATGTTCTATACTAGCTGGAGTACCCGTCCCCTGGATGGAAGTTATGTAAATTCATGATTAATGAAAGGTTATCTTAAGACTTGAAAGTTGCTTCCCTCATATGTAATTGTAGGAAACGAAAAACGCCTACAAAAACTACAAAACACAAAAACGTGAAACCGCAAACTTGTATGTATCTCTCCATGGACCCAATGAACCTCCATACCAATTTTGGTGAAGATCCATCCACACCATGAGAAGTAGTTATATGGACATACAACAGACAATACTATTATATTTATATATATATTCATCATAACTTTATGTATTTAATAACTTTAATACCAGCTGTCAGTTATTGTTACGACTGTTGTCTAAATATCTAATTTAAATAGAGTTTTATCACAGTTGAATTAAATACAAGCACAATTATAATAATGTGCTGAACTTTTTTTGTAATAAACAACCCATCTCGTTTATTATGAAGGATAAAACATCAATCAAAACATGTTGATAATAGCGAAAGCCTCATCACTAAATGCAAAATGCAAGCGCAAAATGGTCTAACACTAAGCAAGTACATGTGTAAATGTGAAATGGACCACAAATGACATTCCAGCGCATGCGTGAGACGCATATACAACCATTTCGCTCGAAAATGAAGGATATTAAAATTGGAGCAAAAGTTAGCAATGAATCGCGTGTAGGGAGGTCTATAAGTCCTCCCTATCCGGTGGAAGAGAGATAACATTTACAGACATGCAACACCCAAATCCGCGGAGGAAAAAGCAGATAACCATATGTGACTTCTCTTTAAAATAAAAAAACAAAACAAAATTCTCTAACAATTATATAGTACTATGGAGTGAAGATGAGAGTGACTGAGAAATTAATACGTTTTAAGGCTATATTAAAAAATAAATACTACGAATAATGTCTCGTTTGGCCCCCAGTCGAACAGCGGTATGTCTACGGACATACAACGACAGAAATCGGGTTTCGATACCTGTTGTTGGGCAGAGCACAGATAGTCCATTGTGTGGCTTTGTGCTTAATTACAAAACAAACAAACACATGTCTAGTTTATTTACTTAATTTTTAAATGCATTTAATTTTAAATTAGGGTGAGAGAAATTTATGGCAATTTTATTTACTAGAAGTTTACAGATACTATATTTTTTACTATTAACTAAACTATTACTATTATTAAACAGTTATAACATCTAACACTCTTAAAAAGTTATACTAACTGAAAATTCTGCAAACTAAGCATAAATGCTATCAGTTGAAAGAAGAGTAAAGCTAGAAACTTAAATAAAGTTCATGTCTGACATGAGAGCTTCTGTGATAAGAAACTTCGTGTCGTTTTGTGAATACACGAAGAAAGCTCTGACTGCAGAGTCACATCAGTTAGTATCAGTTAGTTGGGTTGGGTGCGTTAAGAACCATTTAAGTAATTGATTTCAGATTATCAGACTATAAAACTTATTATTCAGACTGTTTTTGTTGTTGTGTTTAAATGGAAACTAAAGAGCGTAATCAACATCCTTTTACTTTTAGTTTCTTTAGTCATTCAAATAGTGAAAAAACTAGTAATGGTACTAAACCAAAAAAAGCGGAAACTAAAAGCGATTCTAAATCAAATACTAAACTTAAGAGTACTGACAACGTAGCAGCGACGTCTGCAATCTGTAGCAACAACCTAAAGGTATCTGCAACCACTAACAACAAATCAACTATACCTGCAACAAGCAGTAAAAATGGAAGTGATCAAACTGTAAACCTTCCAAACACTTTTCACGTTAAGTACTTGGGCAAGCGTCACGCTCGTGGACTGTGGGGAATTAAATACACTCGACAACCAGTAGATGAAATGGCAGCCGCTTACCGTGCCAGTTTACCTAATATGTCCCGGCCTATTCTGAAACTTGAGGTATCTTTGGAGGGCATTATGGTGAGCGCGATGCCTCAAAACAGAAACCCTAATATTGAGGCAAAGAAGTTTCCCATTAGCTCAATATCGTACTGTGTTCAGGATATAGTGTACGACCGAATATTTGCAATAATTGCTGTTCAAGATTCCACAACTGGCTTACAACAGCATCCTTTTGAGTGCCACGCCTTCTTGTGTGACAAACAAGAAAGCGCTCGAGATCTTTCCTTGTCCTTGGCTACAGTTTTTCAACTCAGCAACCGCAATGACGTGAAGCAAGACTTACCCACAGAGACTGATGACTCTGAAGTGTAACTTCTGTAACTTAAAATCACAGATTATTTTATTGTTAATTAAGATATCACGGTAAGATTGTTTAGTGTTTCCTTTGTTCCAAATAGATGCTGCTTTTACGGTTTACGTTATCTGATCTCGTAAATGTCCTTTTAATATATGAAATTAAACGAGTTTTATGAGACAGACAATTCAGTTACTAAACCACCATTATACTTAGACATTTGCTTGCTCTGGAGTTAACTGAATAGTAGAGTTGGTTTCTCATTTTTCACACTTGTCTTATTGCAACAATTTAGGATTAGGATTAAATATCCTTTCTTGAATACTTTAATAAATGTTAAAATATTCATTATCACCTCTTGCTGAACGAAAAATCGCACCAAAAATTTCAAGCTAAATTTAAGGAGTTGTTGTCCTTAGAAAATTAGATTTGTTGAATTGTGAAAATATGTGTGAAAATTACTGCCGAATGGAAAACACGTTTTTCATCTTGAGGTGTTTTATAACAATTAAATATGAAATAACTTTTTTATAAGCTATTGGTCTGAATATAACATTTGTGAGCTTGACATTTTTCCTTATGTTTTAAAAATGTATCAAAAACCTAAGTCTAAGCTCTCAACTTGGTATAATATATATCCATGTCTGTAGCTTAAATGATTTTCTTTCGAATGCTTGTTGTAAATAGCTTCTTTAGATTGGAGAATATAATTATTAGGGAATATGTTCACAAGTACTTAATTTCTGTATCTCCTGGTATTTTATTTTTAAAGAGGTACAAATAATCAGTTTTAAGAAGGTTTTGTATAGTATCGATACTACAGTAGTTGACCCATATATGAACACTCTGTTACTAAACAGGAATGACAAGTCCACTCAGTTCATACGTCTTTGTTCAAAAAATGTATCAAAGCGTCGACCTTCGTCAACAATTTTTATTTCAATCACGTTGTCTGACCAAAATCTTTAATGACGAAATCCTATGTAATTTAACAGCAGTAGTGTATCAGTTTCATTCTGTTATTTTATGCATGCAAAAGAAAATCATATAGTTATGAGATGAAGCAATAGTAAAACATAGTTTCTTATTTATAGATCTAATTTTCTAAGTACCTTTAGAGGTTAATTAATAAATCCAAATATATTATCATATAAATAGGACGTATCTGAGAACGTCGCCCGCCCCCAGTGGCTTGTTTGTTTGTTTGAAGTTAAGCACAAAGCTACACAATGGGCTATCTGTGCTCTGCCCACCACGGGTATCGAAACCCGGTTTCTAGCGTTGTAAGTCCGCAGACATACCGCTGTGCCATTGTTGCCCCCCCTCCCCCAGTAGCACATCGGTATGTCCGTGGACTTATAACGCTAGAAACCGGGTTGGTAGAGCATAGATAGCCCATTGTGTTGCAGTGTGCTTAATTACAAGCAAGTAACCAACCAAGTCTGTCATTCCAATAATGGATTGATATGACATAGTGGAGAAACAAAATGAGTCATTGATGAAAATTTAAGAGTTTTAGTGATACTCCAGACAATATCTTCACTACTTCAATGGCCCTTCATGATTCACATTATCTCCAATTAAAAGAGGGTTTTGTATCCACTCCTGGTACCTAAACATATATATACTAAGTTTGATCTCTCTGGCTTGTGAGTAGGGCATGAACATAATTTCAAAAATGACATCCCGGGATCCCAAGGTGATCCAAGAACAAAATATCCGATGACAGATTTGAGTTCAGCAAACCTATTCCTAGATACATCATATATGGGCAGGGATTATACCATATAGATGAGGACATCAATTTGAGCCACTACGAACCCGCTTGCCCAGTTTTGTCTTACCAGCTCCAAAACTGTTGAATGAGTTAGTGGACAAACAAGTTTACAAACACACAAAGTGAATTAACATGGGTTATGATTAAGCTAAGCGTCTTAATGCAGATATATGTAATCCAGATACGACGATTATGACTAGTTTTATTATTTTTAAAGTATAATGAATGATTATTTAATTTAGTTTACTCAAAAAAGAAATTATGTATTTTAAAAGTGCCTTCTTTTAGTAGAGCTCGTATACTCAAAAATAGCGGGATCTATAGTTTTAGTCACGAGTGAGCGTACTTTTGAGGCGTATTTATGGGAAATTGAAAGGCTGCCTAAAATATTAATTCGAACATAGAATCTAAAAATGATCCAGTTAAAAGCTCTTAAAGTATTCGTCGCTCAATTTAGTTGAAAAGAGATCTTGTAAAAGTTTGATCTTAAAGAAGAATTTATTTTTTTATTTAGTACAGGTTGAATGTTGTCATACAAATAACATTGAGTACAAATCCCTCAAAAGAACAACCAGAAAATAACTTTCAGTTTCAAGATGGAACTTTTAAAACAGTTTTCGTACGACTGACCCCAAACACGTCAATCCTCTATCATGTAAACAGTCTCATAAACTCAGTTTTTGAGATAAAATTTGACACAGTTAAACAAACAAGTCGTTTATAGTAATTATAGATTGTTTGTTTGTTTGTTTTTGGAATTTCGCGCAAAGCTACACGAGGGCGATCTGCGCTAGCCGTCCCTAATTTAGCAGCGTAAGACTAGAGGGAAGGCAGCTAGTCATCACCACCAACTCTTGGGCTACTCTTTTACCAACGAACAGTGGGATTGACCACCACTTTATAACAACGCTGAAAGGGCGAGCATGTTTGGTGGGATGGGGATGCGAACCCGCGACCCGCAGATTGCGAGTCGAGCCATGCCGGGCCAGTAATTATAGAATATATGATGTACCAAACGTTAGTTGAATTACGATTTTGATACACATGCAGTTGAACAGTTTGACAAGTACCACAGCACTGTGACAGAAACTACAAGCAGAACACTTAAGTGCGTTGGAGGGAACAAGCATACTTTTCATCTTGGTAATGACTCTGTAGTTTTAGTTTAACCATGTTCAAACCCTTCACTTAGAAATGACTAAGCTTCAGTTTAATCAGTTCCAAAGCCTCCACTTAGTAATGACTAAGCTTCAGTTTAATCAGTTCCAAAGCCTTCACTTAGTAATGACTAAGCTTCAATTTAATCAGTTCCAATTCCTTCACTTAATGATGACTAAGTTTCAGTTTAATCAGTTCCAAAACCTTCACTTAGTAATGACTAAGCTTCAATTTAATCAGTTCCAATTCCTTCACTTAATGATGACTAAGTTTCAGTTTAATCAGTTCCAAAGCCTTCATTTAGTAATGACTAAGCTTCAGTTTAATCAGTTCTAATCCCTTCACTTAATGATGACTAAGTTTCAGTTTTATCAGTTTCAAAGCCTCAGTTGTTAATGACTACATTTCAGTTAACCAGTTCCAAAGCCTTCACTTAGTAATGACTAAGCTTACGTTTAATCAGTTCCAAAGCCTTCACTTAATGATGACTAAGTTTCAGTTTAATCAATTCCAAAGCCTCACTTGGTAATGACTAAGCTTCTGTTTAACCATAGTTCCATTCCCTTCACTTAGTAATGACTAAGCTTCAGTTGAATCAGTTCCAAAACCTCGCTTGTTAATGACTTAGCTTCAGTTCAACCAGTCCAAAAGCTTTCACGTCTTAATGACCAACTAAGCTTGAGCTTGACGAGTTATAAAGCTTTACCTTTGTAATGACTAAGCTTCAGTTTTTACCAGGTTCAAAACCTCCACTTAGTGATGACTAAGCTTCAGTTTAAGGCATTCCTTGCACCATACATTCTAAAGGGCATGTACAATGATAAAAGAAAACTTCTACATTTATCTAAAGGTCTTGAAAGGCTTATATCATCTGAAAAAGCGATTATATATATATATATACGTACTCTAATTCATATATCAATCAACAAAACTTCGATTACAATACTATAATAGAACCTGTTCACTTGAAAAGTTAGTATTGTTAACAACTGATTGTTTTCAGATGTATCTTTCTTTCCGCTGTTTTTATGATTGATATTATTATTATAGTTTTATCATTAGTGTTCTTTATTATTTTTGCCTTTCTAAGATGTGAAATACTAATGTAGATATGTAGTTGTGTAGGCCTAATATGATTGTATTGAAAATTATCTTATCCTTGTTACATTTTTGTGATATTTCTGGCTCGAGTTATCACATCAGTTTGCTTTCATTGTCTGTGATGTTTATTCACTATACTTTATAAAACTTTTTTTGAGACTTACTGAACTGAATCTGTTTTAATTTCCCTCGAGAGATAACTACAAGTAGCAACTACTCTTCTTTCCTACTGCTCCAGTGCGTTTCAAACTCTGAAGCACATCATAAACATAAAGTGTTATTCACATCCACTAGCATCCCTAAAGAAGTTAAATAACAACACAGACGCAAGATTGAATAGTATTTAGAAGTCGTAGAGTAGATATTTGTATAGTCGTAAAGACTCTATGTTATGTTATAATACTTACAAGTTAATTTAATGAAGACTTTTATGGCAGAACTTATTTACAGGAAGCCCGAATCTGAGGAGTCGCCAATAATTTTTTTTTCAGTTATCAAAAACCTACAAGATGCTGAGCTGTCACGATGAACTTAAAAAAGAAATAGGTTGCCGAAAGAACTAGACTTTCACTGACAATGTTTCCGTTTTCATGATTTCACAGATAACTATATTTATGTTTTTAAAAAGAAAATACAAAGGAGACTTATGCGTTCTTGAAACACCGAAATTTACAGTACTTTATTGGTATAAGTAATTATTAATAGCTATTATTGAAACTTATACATTCTTGAAACGCTTAAATTTACAGTTATTTACTGGTATAAGCAATTATTAATAGATATTATTCAGACTAAATGTTTGAATTGGTTCCCGAGTTCATTAGCCTGTTTATTATTTATATATATATTTATATATTGCCAAGATGAAGACACAAGTGGAGATTTACTTTTTATTGGAATTATACATTGTAGTCTTTTAACAAACTATCCTATTTTTGAAATCTCAGAATTTAAAATAAATATTGAAAGGTAAAGACGTCA